GCAGCACGGAGCTGCTCTGCCTGCACGTCACCCCAGCGCCCTCGGGAGCACTTCAGGTTTTTTATTTCGCATTGTATTCGGAGGGAACCCGAGCGCTCAGAGGGCTGAGTGCTGCCACGCTTCGTCCGTTAGCGCTCCTCGTTACAGGAGAAGCCACTGGAGTAATTAAACACCCACAGAGAGAGGGGCAGAAGGGAGGATGGTCTCCAGGACATGTAAGGTCATTGGTTTGAGCAAATAAAGGATGACACAGCTTTTGCTCTTGTCAGTCTACTCGTCTTGCAAGCCGATAAGGGAGCTTCTGACATTTGTAAACAACAACCAGTTTTTATTATATTAATAGTTATTCATTATATTAATAGTCATTTATTATATTAATAGTCATAAGCGATTGTTTTTCTTGCTTACCTTCTTGGAAGAGCTCTCGGAGGCACTGAAATTTCCCATCGATGCTCTTTAGGTGCTGGGCGACGCGGAGAATTTCCCTGGCACAGCGCTCAGGTGTGGGGCAATGGGACGGAGCCCAGGAAGCAGCTGGGATTCCCGAGTGGGAGCTGTGCTCAGGGGAAAGGAATCTCCCCAGGAATCCATCAGCATCATCCCAGGATCCCGACCCGCTCATGGTCAGCACCTCTTTGCATTTATCCCTTTGCGGTTGGAATCCTCTCTTCCAACCCGACTCATCCTATGGGTTTCCTAACCCAGTAGAGCTGCACCCAGTGCCTTCGGAGAAATGACTGAAGCAGGTTTTAATGCCCAAATTTCCTCTTTTCAGCAAGTAGAAACTCAAATTTGGGAAACTTTCCTTCAGCAAAGGTTGGGTATCAAAAGCCTTGAACACCCGTTTGCTATCGCAGCGCATTTCTGTGTCGGTCTCTCTCACGTAGTGCAGTATTTGCAAGAGGAAATGTTGGCTCAGGCGATCTGCAGAGAATAATTTCCATCTCTTAGAGAGGGTTTTTCATCTCTCAGAGGTTTTTCCATCTCTTTCATTGCCTGCCCTTGGCTAAAAGATGGAGCAGGAATCACAGAATCGTGAAATCGTAGAATCGCGGAATCATAGAATCGCAGCGTCACCGAATGTCCAGGTTTGGAAGGGACCCACAGGGATCATCGCGTCCAGCGGAAATAAAAAAGCCATCAAATCCCTCAGCCATCACTGCTGCATCTCGGTGGGTGCTGATGAAGCCAGGAACAGCATCGCTGTCGGTGTCCTGCTTCCCTTTGCGGATTCTGGAGTCGGATGGAGAGCGGATCTACGCGCAGGGCAGGAACCTGGGGCAGGAACCTGGGGCAGGTGTCAGGCAATGTGGATTTTCCACATTCCTTTTGGGAGTTGTGAAATGAGTCCCTTCCCTTCCCAGACGGATCCTCCCACCCGCCGCTCGCTTTTTAACCCTTTGCTCTCTGCAGGCTGGGAGGCGTCTTTGCCGTTCCACTGCTGCCTGCAGATCATCTGGGGGCTGTGGGGGGGAGTTGTGTGGCGTGGCGAAAAGCAAAGCAAGAGTGACACCAACCGTAGTGTGCGATATTTGGAACGGAGGAATCCGTCTCCGTCCCCATCTGAAGCTGTGGAGGTGGGCAGGGAGTTTTCCCCTCCCTTCTGCTGCAGGGTTTCTATCGCGCTGAATTCCCATGCAGAAAGACAGCTCTGCTCTTTTCCAGCTCTTCTGAAGCTGAGCTTCGTGCAGGACTTCCCAAGCTGTCCTGTGATCCTTAAGGATTCCCCCAACCCAATCCATCCTATGGTTCTACAGTTGTATGACCTTTGAGGACCCAACTCAACCCATTCTGTGGTTCTGTGTTCTTTGAGGACCCAACTCAATCCATTCTGTGGTTCTGTGTTCTTTGAGGACCCAACCCAAACCATTCTGTGGCTCTATTATCTTTGAGGACCCAACCCAACCCATTCTATGGTTCTGTTCTCTTTGAGGACCCAACCCAACACATTCTGTGGTTCTGTGTTCTTTGAGGACCCAACTCAACCCATTCTATGGTTCTATTATCTTTGAGGACCCAACCCAAACCATTCTGTGGTTCTATTATCTTTGAGGACCCAACCCAACCCATTCTGTGGTTCTGTGTTCTTTGAGGACCCAACTCAACCCATTCTGTGGTTCTGTGTTCTTTGAGGACCCAACTCAACCCATTCTGTGGTTCTGTGTTCTTTGAGGACCCAACCCAACCCATTCTGTGGTTCTGTGTTCTTTGAGGACCCAACTCAACCCATTCTGTGGTTCTGTGTTCTTTGAGGACCCAACTCAACCCATTCTGTGGTTCTGTGTTCTTTGAGGACCCAACCCAACCCATTCTGTGGTTCTATGACCTTTGAGGACCCAACTCAACCCATTCTGTGGTTCTATGACCTTTGAGGACCCAATCCAACCCTGTTGGCACAGTGTTGCTTCCCACTTCAGTTTGTGCTTTGCTGTCATCTTCTCACTGGGTTTGTTGTGTTTTTGGTTGTTTGTTTGTTTGTTTTCCACAATAACCCGTTTTGTTTTGTTCTGTTTTGTTTTGTTTTGTTTTGTTTTTCACAGAATAACCAAGAAAAGAGCAATTTTTTTTTGGCTCTGAACGGAGAAAAACCCATTGGGTTAAAAACCCGATCGGTTAAAAGCCCGATGGGTTAAAAACCCAATTAGATTAAAAAGTGGCTTAAAACATCAATGAGTTAAAAAGCCAACGGGTTAAAAACCCAATGGAGTAAAAACCCAATGGGTTAAAAACACAATGGATTGAAAACCCAATGGGTTAAAAACCCAATGGAGTAAAAACCCAACGGGTTAAAAACCCAATGGGTTAAAAACCCAACAGAGTAAAAACCCAATGGGTTAAAAACGCAATGGATTAAAAATGCAATGGATTAAAAACCCAACGGATTAAAAACCCAATGGAGTAAAAACTCCATGAGTTAAAAACCCAGTGGATTAAAAACCCAACGGATTACAAACCCAATGGAGTGAAAACCCCATGAATTAAAAACCCAATGGATTAAAAACCCAACGGATTACAAACCCAACAGGTAGGGCTGGTAAAAGTCCACCTTTTATGTTATTTTTCTTTCCATAAATTCCACTGCTGGGTGTCTTTCTATTGACACGGGGACGAGCAGCACCCGAGCGCCAATTTACAGCCTGTGTTCACTTGGAGGTGAAAACGCTGCCCTCCACCTCCTTCCCATTTCTCCAGCTTTGTTATTTGCCATTGAAATCGTTATTTTTTCCTCCAGCTGCCCCCGAGGAAATGCAGCATCGCCCCATTACCACCGGAGCACGGCGTGCAGCTCGGTTTCACTCCTCCACAGATTTGTGACCCGGAAGGGCTTTCAGGTTTTCTTTGCATCTCGATGCCACACAGAACGCGGGGAGCAGCCAAAGAAGGACGTTTGTAACGCAGGGAGCCTCCCAACCATTTGTTTTATGGGATTATTCCTCGCCTACCTGCCCAACTCGCCGGGCAAAGAGGATTAAGTGAGCAAGCAAGTCAAACCAGCCGCCCTCGCTCAGCCTCTCCGCCTGCCTGCCAGCAGGGATCCTTTGCATCCCACGAGTTTCTAAACTCTTGGCTCTTCCCTTCGTGGTGGAATGGAGAAGCCGTGAATGAGCAGCGGGCGGCGCAAGGAGCCAAGCGAGGGGACGGAATGAATTTGTGTCAGAACGATTCGACTTTCAGGGAGCGAATGCAATTTTAGCAGAGGTTTTGAAGAAAGACAGATGCTGGTGTTGGTGTTGATGTCCTCAGTTGATCACATAGGGGCAGCAACCCAAAAGGTGTCCCCACTTGATCACATAGGGACAGCAACCCAAAAGATGTCCCCACTTGATCACATAGGGACAGCAACCCAAAAGATGTCCCCACTTGATCATATAGGGGCAGCAACCCAAAAGATGTCCCCAGTTGATCACATAGGGGCAGCAACCCAAAGGATGTCCCCAGTTGATCACATAGGGACAACAGCCCAAAAGATGTCCCCAGTTGATCACATAGGGGCAGCAACCCACAAGATGTCCCCAGTTGATCACATAGGGACAACAGCCCAAAAGATGTCCCCAGTTGATCACACAGGGACAACAGCCCAAAAGATGTCCCCAGTTGATCACACAGGGACAACAGCCCAAAGGATGTCCCCAGTTGATCACACAGGGACAACAGCCCAAAAGATGTCCCCAGTTGATCACACAGGGACAACAGCCCAAAGGATGTCCCCAGTTGATCACACAGGGACAACAGCCCAAAAGATGTCCCCAGTTGATCACATAGGGGCAGCAACCCAAAAGATGTCCCCAGTTGATCACATAGGGACAACAGCCCAAAAGATGTCCCCAATTGATCACATAGGGGCAGCAACCCAAAAGATGTCCCCAATTGATCACATAGGGGCAGCAACCCAAAAGATGTCCCCACTTGATCACATAGGGGCAGCAACCCAAAAGATGTCCCCACTTGATCACATAGGGACAACAGCCCAAAAGATGTCCCCAATTGATCACATAGGGGCAGCAACCCAAGGGATGTCCCCAATTGATCACATAGGGGCAGCAACCCAAAAGATGTCCCCACTTGATCACATAGGGGCAGCAACCCAAAAGATGTCCCCAGTTGATCACATAGGGACAGCAACCCAAAAGATGTCCCCAGTTGATCACATAGGGACAGCAACCCAAAAGATGTCCCCAGTTGATCACATAGGGGCAGCAACCCAAAAGATGTCCCCAGTTGATCACATAGGGACAGCAACCCAAAAGATGTCCCCAGTTGATCACATAGGGACAGCAACCCAAAAGATGTCCCCAGTTGATCACATAGGGACAGCAACCCAAAAGATGTCCCCAGTTGATCACATAGGGGCAGCAACCCAAAAGATGTCCCCAATTGATCACAGAGGGACAGCAACCCAAAAGATGTCCCCACTTGATCACACAGGGACAACAGCCCAAGGGACGTCCCAACCAGCCCCTACGAGGACCCATCACCATCCTCTTTCTGCTCTTCACTCTTGGATTCCTCCCTCTTGCCCAATCAATCACGTTGGGACAACAACCCAAGGGATGTCCCCAGGTGACCCGAGTCGGTCCCAGACGTCCCTACGAGGACTCATCACCATCCTCTTTCTGCTCTTCACTCCTGGATTTCTCCCCCTTGCCCAGTTTGTACTTGAGGCGCCGGAAGGGGTCGCTGATGCTCCTCCTGGCACAGTCATCAAAATCCTCAGCCAGTCTGAAATTCCTGTCCACCAGCTCAGCTGCCTCCTGCCAGTTCTGGAAGCAGGCAGGACCCATGCTGGTGATCTCATCCACGGCGTTCCCGACGATGACGTCCCCGTTGGGTTTCAACACCACCACCCTGGGCACCTCAGACACCGCAAAGCGCAGCTCCAGTTCCCTGCAAAGGGAAGAAATCTCAATTCAAGACCCGCTGCACCCAGAGTTCCTCAGTATTCATTAAAGTACAAACTCCGAAATGGCTCCAAGAGGGGCTGGAAGGAGCTGTCAGCATTACCTGCAGCTCGCTCGGCCATTAATGAGGTTGTGGTAAATTTGATTTCCTAATTGAGTGTGTGGCAATCAGGCTGTGGCAACAGGACTGGGGCTGGATGGGTCACAAGGAGCCTCCCAACCATTCTGTGGTTCTACGATCTTTAAGGATTCCTCCCAACCATTCTGTGGTTCTACGATCCTTAAGGATTCCTCCCAACCATTCTGTGGTTCTACGATCTTTAAGGATTCCTCCCAACCATTCTGTGGTTCTACGATCTTTAAGGATTCCTCCCAACCATTCTGTGGTTCTACGATCTTTAAGGATTCCTCCCAACCACTCTGTGGTTCTACGATCTTTAAGGATTCCTCCCAACCATTCTGTGGTTCTATGATCTTTAAGGATTCCTCCCGACATTCGGTGAATCTGTGATCTACAGATCTTGGATTCTATGGATCTACAATCCTACAATTCTACCGTCTGGTGATTTTCAAGGTCCCTTCCAACCCAAACCATTCCATGGTTCTATGATCTTCAAGGTCACTCCCAGCCCACGCCACCCTAAAATTTTGTGATTCTGTGACCTTTAAGGATCCTTCCAACCCAACCCACTCTGTCATTCTATGATTCTTTTATCTTTAAGGTCCTGTTCAGCCCAACCATTCCATGATTCCATCTTTCTATGACTCTATCATCCCACCACCTTTGAGGACCCTTCCAACCTAAGAATTTCTGTGTCTCTACGGTTCTATGTTTCCATCTATAATCTTTGAAGTCCCTTCCAACCCAACCCATTCTCTGTCTCTGTGATCTTTAAGAACCCTTTCAACCCAAACCCAAGACATTGTATGGGTCTGTGATCTTTTTAGGTCCCTTCCAACCAAACCCAGTCTGTGATTCCATGATTCTCTGACCTTTAAGGTCCTTCCAACCAAAACCATTCCATGATTCTCCGATCTTTAAGATCCCTTCCAACCAAAACCACTCTGTGATTCCGTGACTCTGCGATCTTTAAGGTCCTTCCAACCAAAACCATTCCATGATCCCGTGATCTTTAAGATCCCTTCCAACCAAACCCAGTCTGTGATTCCATGATTCTCCGATCTTTAAGGTCCTTCCAACCAAAACCATTCCACGATTCTGTGATCTTTTAAGTTCCCCTCCCACCCAACCCAACCTACAATTCTATGATCCTTACAGTCCCTTCCCTCCCAACCACTCCATCATTCCGCACTCCTACGACCCCAAAGAACACCTCCCAACCCCACCACCCACCTCTTGAACTCATCCCCGAAGGGTAACGACAGCCACCTCTTGGGCATGGACTTCAGGAAGGCCTCCTGCTGCTGCGCGGTGGCGTCTCGGGACACGTACACCAAACACAGCTGCGATGCCCGCTCCACGTAGAACTCATCTGTCAACCTCACAAAGAAATCCTTCAGCCGTGGCACGAAACTCCGGCACTGCGGGCATTCAGCCGCCCCGAAATACAGCAGCATCACTCTGTTCTCCAGGGCCAAACACAGCTCCCTCTCCGTCTCCACTTCATCCCGGTCCCTGTTGTTGACGATCAATACTTTCCCAGCGAACAGAGAAGCCATGGCGGGGGGAAAGAGGGGGGGAGGGAGGGTGGCGGATCCCAATGGGGGATGTGCGGAGCAGCGAGTGTCCAAACGGGGCGGGATGAGACACACAGCCCTCCGCGCTTCCCTCCCCCCGCCGCTCCCGGCTGCTATTCATAGCCGAAATCGGATTAAAGCCAGGGGTCAATGAATGCGGGGACGGCGCTGCGTTGGGTCCTGGCACGGATCCCACAGCGTTGGGGGGATGAAAAACGGGGCAAAGCAAAGGGACGTCGCCCAGCACTGAGTGGGAACAAACAGAAGAACAAACAGCAGCTCGTTTTCTATTAGATTTAAAGCCAAAAAAAGTCTTTTCCCGGTGCGGCTGCCCCGGTTTCCTCGCATGGAGGGCAGTGGGACGAATCCTCCGTTCCTCTCCGCATTAACTGGAGAAATATGAAGGACAACTCCGTTTTCTATTGGAATTACGGCTCGAACGCCTTTTCCCGCTGCTTTCTGCCCGATTTCCCCTTCCCCTCCGCGGCGGCAGCGAAGCGAAACCTCCGCTCCGCTCCGCTCCCTTCCCGATCCGCTCCGCTCCCTACCAAGGACAGCTCCGCCCTTTCTCCTCGTCCAATCAGAGACCTCCCTCAGAGCTCTCCACCAATCAGATCGCGAGCCGCCGAACTGTCCCGCCTACCGGTTGGCAGCCCACGCTTCCCCGCAGCGCCGCTCGGAGCTCCGCGGTCGGATCCGCTGCGGGCGGCGGAGCGGTGCGGAGGTACGGAGGAGCGGAATGCGGGGCTCGGGGGGGGGAGGGGGGGGTTGGGAGGTTGGGAGGATTGGAGGGGTCACAACGGGGCCGGGGTTGTGGATTTTTAAGGCCCGGTGGATTTGTGACCGCTCCTTCCATCCGCAGCATGCAGCCGGTGGGGGTTTGCACCGCGGCGCTGGGATCGTTGGGGCTGATGAGGTTCTTCGGGGTTCCGTGGGTTTGGAGCCTGGCGGCAGCGCTGGGCATCGGCCTGGGAAGCGGAGGTTGGAGGCTGCTGAGGGTGATCTGCAAAACGGCGCTGCGGGATCTCTTGTAAGTGGTGCGGGGCTCGGCGTTCTGTGCCCTACGGTGTGCATCGAGCCCGGGACCCACAGCCAGCGCCCTTTTCCCAATACCCAAAGCTTTGTGCCCGGTATCTGGTATCCAGTACCCAGTGCCTGGTGCCCGGTAACCGACACTCAGTGCCTGATACCCTGTGCCCAGTGCCCAGAATCTGGTGCCCAATACCCAGAACCTGGTGCCCAGTGCCCTGTTCCCAATACCCAATGCTCTGTGCCCAGAATCAGGTGCCCAGTATCCAAAACCTGGTACCCAGTGTTCTCTTCCAGTACCCAATGTCCTGTGCCCAGAATCTGGTGCCCTGTATCCAGAACCTGGTGCCCAGTGCCCTGTTCCCAATACCCAATGCCTGGTGCCCCATACCCTACATCCAGTGCCTGGTACCCTGTGCCCAGTGCCCAGAATCTGGTTCCCTGTATCCAGAACCTGGTGCCTAATGCCCTGTTCCCAGTGCCCAGTACCCTGTGCCCAGTGCCATGTGCCCAGTGCCCAAAATCTGGTGCCCAGTACCCAGTGTCTGGTACCCAGGTCCTCTTCCCAGTACCCAGTGCCCAGAATCAGGTGCCCAGTATCCAGTGTCTGGCACCCAGTGCCCAGTACCCAACACCCAGTGCCCAGAATCTGGTGCCAGTGCCCATAAACCTGGTGCCCAGTGCTCAATATCCACAACTTGGTCCCCAGTGCACTTTTCCCAGTGCCCAGAACCTGGTGCCCAGTGCCCTTTTTCCTGTGCCCAACCTGGTGCCCAGTGCCCATAAACTTGGTGCCCAGTGCCCAATAGCCACAACCTGGTGCCCAGTTCCCTTTTCCCTGTGCCCAGTGCCCAATATCCACAACCTGGTGCCCAGTGCCCTTTTCCCTGTGCCCAGAGCCCAATATCCACAACCTGGTGCCCAGTGCCCAGTGCCCAGTGCCCAGTGCCCCATATCCACAACCTGGTGCCCAGTGCCCTTTTCCCTGTGCCCAGTGCCCCATATCCACAACCTGGTGCCCAGTGCCCTTTTCCCTGTGCCCAGTGCCCCATATCCACAACCTGGTGCCCAGTTCCCTTTTCCCTGTGCCCAGTGCTCAATATCCACAACCTGGTGCCCAGTGCCCTTTTCCCTGTGCCCAGTGCCCCATATCCACAACCCGGTGCCCAGTGCCCAGCGCGTGGCACCCAGTGCCTCGTTCCCTACACCCAGTGCCCAGTAACTGCTGCCTAATTCCCAGTGCTTGGCCCGCAGAACGTGCTGCCCTGCAGGATGCCCATCCCACACCCACCCCGCTGCCGTCCCCACGCTTCCAGTTCCACCCCAGTGCCAGCACTGCTGCCGGTCCAGTTCAGCTGCTGAGCCTCAGTGATGCGAGGATGTTTCTTGCTCTCCTCTCTGCCTACAAGGAGTGAAATTCAGGGATGGGAGCAGCATGAGGAAAGGCCACCGTTACTCCTGGGAGCTGTCGAGGGTGTCTCACTGATTTCCGCAGTTTTTAGCCCATTTTTGGGGGGGGATGTGCTTTGAATTTGTAAGGATTTAAGGCCGTTGCCCTGGCCAGCGCTGCCTGGCTTTGCCGCGGCTGTCACTGAGCCTTGAAGAGCTGTTTCCTCCCGATTGCTCGGCGAGCTGGGAAGAATGGCAGAAAATAAACCGGGCGGAATAAAACCCTTTAAGTATCTGGAAAAGTGTGGCTCACGAGACAAAAGGCTCCTCTGTTCCGCGCTTGGCACCGCTCTGCGGAAGGTCACCGCGCAGCCCGACCGCGGCCAACAGCTCCGTTTGAGGGATCCCTTCCCCCTCCCCTCTGTGCTCATTGACACTCAGAGCTGCGGGGGTTTCTTTCAGGGCTGACATTAAACGACGTTTGGGGTTTTCTGGGGGTTCTTCCGAAGTCTCGTGGCGCAGGAATTCCCTCTTTGGTGTCGGCGGAAGAGAAACGCGCCGCGCTGCCTCCATTCGGTCCCATCTCCAGAAGGGAGCAGAATCTGTGCTGCTGTTCTGATATATTATCCATCATTCCTTCATTGAAAGGAATTGAAATTGAAAGGTCATTGAAATCTGTGTTTTCTTCATCCCCTCCGACCATCCCAGGGCCGAAAGGGGAACTGTTGGCTTTGTTTCCTTCCTTGCTTTGCTTTATGAGTGGTGATGCTGGCTCTGCCACTTAAATAATGACAGATCCCAAGGCGTAAAACTGGATAAATAGCACAAAAATGCTGAAAATCATCGTGGCAAGAGAGGTGCTGCCCATGTAAGATCACATTTCCCTTCCAGGTGAAAGCAATCATTGCAAAGCTTTTTTTCCCCACTCATATCCTTAAAAAAAAAACAACCTGTGGCTTGGCATCACCGCTTTGATTTGACACCAACGTTCAGTTTTATGGATCACCCCTGGTTTGAGGCATGGAAGGTGCCAGAATCATTGGTGTTTTTGTGAGTTTTTGTTACCTAAAAGCCATCGTTTTCCGTAGAGCGGCAGCGATCCGAAGTTCGGTGTCAGCGTGGTTGAGGTGTCCAAGGGGTTGGATTCCAATGGGACTCCCATGTGGGGTACACACACACCGTGTCCATGTTCCCATATGGAAATCGGTGCTGTGTTTGACTCAGAAGCATCAATATTAAAATTAAAAAAAAAACAATAACAAATGAATTAATTTCAATATAAACCAAAGATTGTAAAGTAGACCAAGAGCCATCCACGAAACTTGGTGGCCTTCCAGATAACGCCAAGGGTGTCCCAGCAGAGCGAATCACTGATGTCAGCACCAACATCGTGTTTCCTTCCGGAGAACGTTGCAACTCCTTCTGCAGAATGCTGCAAATCCTGCTGGATTTCTTATTTCTTCTCTTTCTTTGCTTCAGCGGCCTCTCGGTGCTGTTACGAGTCAAGTACAAGTTACGACGGCACCAAAAAAACAACACCACCATTCCCAAGATGTTCCAGGACGTCGTCCGCCGGCACCCCGACAAAGTGGCCCTGATTTACGAGGCCACGGGTGAGAAGTGGACCTTCCGGTGGCTGGACCAGTATTCCAACGCCGTGGCCAATTTCTTCTACCAGCAAGGCTTCCGCCTCGGGGACGTCATTGCCATCTTCATGGAGAGCCGCCCCGAGTTCGTCGGCCTCTGGTTGGGGATGGCGAAAGTCGGCATCGAAGCGGCCCTCATTAATTTCAACCTGCGTTTGGATTCGCTGGTTTACTGCATAACGACGTCGGGAGCCAAAGCGGTGATTTTTGGAGGGGAGCTGTGCTCAGGTGGGGCGCCTGGGTGATCGTAGAGTCGTGGAGGGGGTGGGGATGGAAGGGACCTCCATATTGTAGAACCATGGAGTGGTTGGGTTGGAAGGGTCCTTGAAGATGATAGAGCCATGGAATGGGTTGGAGGGGTCCTCAAAGATCATAGAACCATGGAATGGTTGGGTGGAAGGGTCCTTGAAGATCACAGAGCCATGGAATGGGTTGGAGGGGTCCTCAAAGATCATAGCATTATAGAATATTAGGGTTGGAAGGGTCCTTGAAGATCATAGAGCCATGGAATGGGTTGGAGGGGTCCTTGAAGATCAAAGAACCATGGAATGGTTGGGGTGAAAGGGTTCTTGAAGATCATAGAGCCATGGAATGGGTTGGAGGGGTCCTTAAAGATCAAAGAACCATGGAATGGTTGGGGTGAAAGGGTCCTTGAAGATCATAGAGCCATGGAATGGGTTGGAGGGGTCCTTGAAGATCATAGCATTATAGAATATTAGGGTTGGAAGGGTCCTTGAAGATCATAGAGCCATGGAATGGGTTGGAGGGGTCCTTAAAGATCAAAGAACCATGGAATGGTTGGGGTGAAAGGGTCCTTGAAGATCATAGAGCCATGGAATGGGTTGGAGGGGTCCTTAAAGATCAAAGAACCATGGAATGGTTGGGGTGAAAGGGTTCTTGAAGATCATAGAGCCATGGAATGGGTTGGAGGGGTCCTCAAAGATCAAAGAACCATGGAATGGTTGGGGTGAAAGGGTCCTCAAAGATCATAGAAGCATGGAATGGTTGGGGTGAAAGGGTCCTTGAAGATCATAGAGCCATGGAATGGGTTGGAGGGGTCCTTAAAGATCAAAGAACCATGGAATGGTTGGGGTGAAAGGGTTCTTGAAGATCATAGAGCCATGGAATGGGTTGGAGGGGTCCTTGAAGATCAAAGAACCATGGAATGGTTGGGGTGAAAGGGTTCTTGAAGATCATAGAGCCATGGAATGGGTTGGAGGGGTCCTTGAAGATCAAAGAACCATGGAATGGTTGGGGTGAAAGGGTTCTTGAAGATCATAGAGCCATGGAATGAGGTCGAGGGGTCCTTGAAGATCATAGCATTATAGAATATCTGGGTTGGAAGGGAACTTGAAGAGCACAGAGCCATGGAACAGTAGAATGGTTGGCATCTGGACCTCGATCTTCGGGTCCTCTCACTGCAGCGACGTTTCGGGGCACAACAGGACATCACACAGATTATTTCGGCCACTGTTCCTGCCGTGTTCCGTTTCTTGCAAAGCGTTTCTGGCTTTGTGTTGCAGCAATAACCGAAGTGAACGGGATGCTGGGAAAGAACATGGCCAAGTTCTGCTCCGGTGACTACAAGCCAGAAGTTGTTCCTGCAGAGACCAGACACCTGGATCCTCTTCTGAGCACTGCATCGAAGTCACCACCAACTCAGATTCCAGCCAAAGGCTTGGATGGTTGTTTATCAGCAGTCCTCATTTCTTAGTGGGGTGTCCATAAGAATCCCAGGGCCGTAGAATCATCAAAGTTGGAAGAGACCTCAAAGATCATTGAGTCCAACCGTCGGCCTATCACACCATGCCCACTAAACCACAGCACTCAGAGCTGGGCTAGGAGACAGCAAAGGAGGGGTTAAATCGACCCTGTTTGGGGTCACAGATAGAAAAAAAAAATATATATATATGGGGAAAAAAAGAACAAATTGTAAGATTGTGGTTCCAGGATATTCTGGATTAAGTTTCTCAGTAGGTGAGATTTGCGAGGGAAAAAAAAAATAGAAGATCCAGGTTTGAAGGCATTCTGGATGAATATTCTCCACAGCTGAGGTTTCCGTGCCCATCTGAGATCAATCAGGGGTGAGATTCCCAGTGCTGCAGAAACTCCTTCAGAGTTTTCACTGCAGGGCCTTGGGGTATCCTGCCCTACCCTCAGCTTTTCCTGTAGATTGCTTCAGAATCAGGGTCAGAGCTGGAGAGCTCCTCAAATCCCTGGACCGTCGGTGCAGAGGTGTGTGGGTCTCATCCTCAGAGCTCTGCAAGCTCTTTGTATGCATTTATTTATTTACCTCTATGGACAACATCCAGACCTTCTCCTAGGATACGCTTCAACGCCCGTGTCAGGATTTGAGCCAAAGCCCGTCCTCAAGTGCCCTGATAGGAACAAAACGCCTAAAAACACCTTTTTACCAAGGGTTTTCCCAGAGGTCGCTTGGCCTGATGCCTGTTTTCTGCTCTTCCAGATCGGCTCTTTTACATCTACACTTCAGGCACCACGGGAATGCCCAAAGCTGCCATCGTGGTGCACAGCAGGTGAGGGATCCGAGGAGGCAATTTCTTTCTCCCGATGCTTTTTCGAAGCTGAAGCTCGGTTCACCCCCACGTCCTCATCCTGGGCCGTGTCCTTGCAGGTATTACCGCATCGCTGCCTTTGGGTACTACGCCTACAGGATGCACCCAAAGGACATCCTCTACAACTGCCTTCCGCTCTACCACTCCGCAGGCGAGCATCCCCTGCCCCAAATCCACGTTGGGATCCTCCACGTGTCCCCACGGGCGACCCCAAGCCAACCTCGGGCTCTTTCTTTTCCAGGTAACATCATGGGGGTCGGCCAGTGCCTCATCCACGGCCTCACCGTGGTCATCAGGAAGAAGTTCTCCGCCAGTCGCTTCTGGGACGACTGTGCCAAGTACAGATGCACGGTGAGGGCTCTGCTGGCTCGCTGCTTCGCTGCCCATCTCCACCTGGTCCCCTTGTCCCAGAGCCATGGGAGGAATCAGTACGGTTTGATAGCGGTTGACATAACGAGCGGAATTACAAGTGTGACCTCAGCAGGTGGGATTTTGAAGGGGGATCCCAAGCGCTG